ATCGGTTCTCTTGAGCATAAAATACACATAAATATACAGTAATGTCTGAATCATTTATTGTCATTACTGGGTCATCTAACAAACAACACATAGGCATGCACACACACAGAAGCCATGCCTAGCTTAATGACTTTGTTTTGCACCTAAAAGCCATTTTAATACACAGGTTACTCCTGTTCCTCAGGCAAGAGAAGGCGTTAGGATTTTTCAGACACATGTTTGGATATGTGAGTTAAAGTATTGCAAAAATATAAGTTGCCATATCTTATTGATGATTATAAATTATAAAACGGTCTGGTGTTGATCAGCTCTGAATGCTGTCTTAATTAGAAAATAAATAAATAAGTATGTATCCTTAATAGCCTATGTGAAAACTATGGCGCTATAAAAATGCTGGGTAACAAATTACAATATTGACTTATTTGTTTCATTATTGATGCATTAGTTAACATGAACTAACTGAGCAATATATTTTTTTTTACAGTTTTTATTAACCTTTGTTATTGTTAGTAATAAAAAATATTGTTTGTTCGTGCTAGCTCACAGTAAATTATCTAATGTTAATGTTAAAAACATAATATGTAGTATTAGTAAATGTAGAAATTAACATAAACTAAAATTAATAAACATTTGTACTTCACTTTTGTAAATTGCTACCAAATAATGGTCTGTTTGAGCATCATGATCAGCCCTAAACACCAACAATCTGTTTGTTTGACAAATGAGATACAGGGTGAGTGTTCGGAAACCTGTGATTTTTCTTTTAACTGAAGAACGGTTGTTTTACTAAAACACTGTGGCATCGATTTATAATCTTCTAATTAAAGGTGTAAGAAGCAATTTCTGTTGAAAGTGGATCGGACCGAGTGCCAAAACACACTTGTAGCCAATCAGCAGAAAGGGGCGTATACACTCTTGATGAGGGGAGGTGCCTGTGTTGCATATGTTCATGAATTTAGGGAGAAGAATTTCAAGATAAGGCTGTGATCCATTTGGGTAGGGGTGCGTTTGTTTTTGGTGAGTTCAAATCCCCTTTAAAGGTTCAATATGTAACAGAGGTCAGCTAAAGAGCTGGCGGGGCAGGTAAACTTGACTCCCCCGGCCTCAAAAGGCACACTATACATTGTAAAAAAACATCTGTTAAATTTACGGAAAAAAACTGGCAGCTGTGGTTTTCCTGTTAAAAATGCGGTAGCAAGATTTTAGATTTTACAGACTTTTAACCATATTTAATTTTCCAGCAATAAACCAATATTTCATTATCTGATATAATGTTAATTTACTGACCTTTTGAAGCATTAATATCTGTTTTGTTCAACTGTAATACACTGACAACCAACAATAACAACAGTAATGAGAGTCAACTGATCAAAGCTCATCATAATCAGCTCTTCCACAAGAAAGTTAATTCAGTTATATAGAATCTGTACAGTCTCGTTCATTAAACACCATCATGTTGAAATTACAAAAATGCAATAAGAATTAATTTAACAACATTAAATGTAACATAAAACTCTAATGTACAAAACAGATTAGAACAAAACTAAGAAAATTATGAAGAAACAGTAAAAAAAAAACATTAAATGTGAAGTGTCACACAGGGAATTGTGGGAATGTCAATTTACATTTTTTCACTGTAAATTTTACAATGACTTGTTCTTTTTCACTTCCAAAAACTGTCAATTTAATGGCATTTTACAGTAAAATTACATTAAATGTACCATTACATCAGCAGTTATTTGCCGTATAACTTTCGGTTAACCAATTAACAGTTTTTCACTGTAGCATTTTTTTTTACCGTACCGAGTCTTTTACCGTTAAAATCACAATCATTTTACAGTGTAGCGACTTATGCTAGTGGCTGGGGTCATTAGCTTATTTGTTAGCGCACCCGTCTCCCATGCCAGTGACGCTGGTTCGAATCCTGCTCGTCACTGCGAGTAGGACCATTTACAATAGGTTTCACATAAGGATTGAAGGGTTTTTTAAACACATTGGGCCTAACTGTTTGCTGTTCTCTCAAATGATTCTTTGACGTAAGCCAACAGTATTTCCATAAATGAATGTTCAATGAATGCAGAGGCGATGGCAGAAACAGAGAGGCTACTCACACGCGCGCGCTTGGGAATGTATTCAACACTCATAGAGGAGCGGCCTTTAGTATGTGTGTGGGAGCCTTTAACAAACGCTGTTCATGTTGACGTCTGCAAACTCTACTCAGAAAACTTAACAACAATGGTGTCCCACCGTAAAATTCATCGGACATTTGAAATATGTCTCTTTGTACCTTTCAAGTGTACTGGTCATCTGAAAAGTGTGAAGTCAGATAGGATAGTGTTGAATAAAATAATGCGTGAAGTGTACGGCTGAAGCATGTGTTCCTGAATATGTTCTTTCAAACATGTTTTGTACACTGGAAAAAATATTGTTGGCTTAACTTAAAAAAATTAAGTAACCTGGTTGCCTTAAAATTTTAAGTTCATTGAACTGAAAAAATTGAGATTGATTTAATCATCAGAAACTCAAAATATTATGTTCTCTGAACGTGATTTGACAAAAGAAAAAATGTTGTGATCACAAATCATGAAAATAGTTTTTTACAGTGGAAACCGAGCGTAGATTGATATTTACTATATGTTCTGTTCGTCCCTTCAAATGTACAGCAGCATTTCATTATGACATAACATGACAATGGCAGTCTGTCACCATGAATATTATTCTGTATATAGTACATTCAGCAGAATAGCTTGAAACATTCAAACACAACTCCTGTAGCTATAGATAATATGATATTGACACACATTAATGTCATGCAGAGAAATTACAATAGGATGAAATTCTTGCAATGCAAAAGTAACAGTTAAAAGTTGATATTTAAAGTGATAGTTAGAAATTAAAATTCGGTCATTATGTAAGGTTGTAATACACACTACATAACTTTTGCACACATCTCCCCCCGATTTTTGCAAAAAAACAGAACCCGTCTGCAGATTTTGGGCATTTGGAGTTTCAGATTTCACCAAAGAAACGTGTGTGATGGCCACAAATTCTGCTTTGATTCCATCCGGATATCAAATATATTTGACATTTTTAGACGATATTAAAACATTGTTTTCATCTGTCATGCGTCTTCTTCCTTCTGTTCAGATTTTAAAGGTTGTGTGTGAAGTGTACTCCAACCATTCCTCTTCCTCATGACATTTCAAACAACAAAGAAAAGAAAAGCAACACTAAAGTTGTTATTGACTGATAATCATCAGCTATACTGAGCTGTTAACATCGGAACATTGTCACATTTTCTCAAGAATACAACAAGAAGAGCAAGGTTTTCTCCAAATAACAATTTTTTTTTTTTGAAAAATTTAATAAGTATGCAGTAAAAATAAAGGTTCAAAAGAGGGATTTTGCAACAATACCATTGAAGAACCATTTTTGGTTCAACAAAGAGCAAATCAATGTAAAATAACTTGTTTTTCTAAGAATAAAGAATATTTTAATATTTTAAAGAACATTTCTCCACAAAAAAACAAACTTTTGGTGTTAAATGGATGTTAAAGGCACTTCAAGGAACCATTGAAGCTAATAAATGACCTTTATTATGAGTGATGGACTTGGAAAATAATGCATTAGATCAATTGTGTGTACTTTTATGGTGTTTTTGTGTTCTTTTTGAAGCTTGACAACCCCAGTAAACATTTGATGTACTTGCATGGATGAAAAGTACATTCTTTACAACAAATTATAAATAAATAAAATAACATAATTAAATAAAAGCGGAAAAAAAAGGTTTTAAGCCTTAAATATACATTAAAAAGTAATCTGATTGCAATTGTGCATTTTTGTGACATTTAATGTATATTTGTTCTTTATGCTATCTCCAACAACACTGTTTTAGTTATTCACAATAAAATGAAAGTAATGCAAGGGATTCTATAGATATATTCAGGGGGTTGCGGTCAAATAAGATTGATCTGAGAAATGACGTGGAATTTTCTGACTCTTTCCAGTAGTTTCACCTGTTTCCAGTGAGTTCCCCTGGACTATACACCTGTTATTGTTGTTCATGCCATTGTGCTCCACCCTTCTTAGTCAACAGGACTGCAGAGGCCAAAGATCAACAAGTGCATAATCATATCTCACTTGGTATCTGTGTGTGAGCCAAAACAGATTGTTTTCCTTGTGTTGTGTATTGTATTTTCTTCTTGGATACTTCCTCGTTAGCAAAATTAATTCATGTGCACATGCACATAATCTACAGCATATTTAACCATGAATTTTATTTCGATCAATAAAACATTGATCGACCACTATATTGGACACTGAGATGCACTATTGAACTTTCAACAAAACCAAAAAGACAATTTTACTACAAAAACTACAAAAATGCGCAAATTAAAAAACTTAAATGTTATGAGATTCAAAAGATGAGAAACAATGAAACAGAGTTGGCATCACAAGTTTAAACTCCTCTGATTCTCTCCTTTTAGAGAACAGCCGTTGAGTCAGGAAACAGGTTTAACTAAATCTACAGGTTGAGTCACTTGTTATTTGAACTGAGCACTGATTTAGTACAGGAACAAATCTCTCCTTTTACACTCCTATCTCTAAGATAAACAAACATATCTCGCTTAGACAAAATGGTGCAGAAACTGGTTTTCTAAATGCATTACTGACAGCAACATCACTATTTTGGGTTATTTATCTACGCAAAATGCAAGCATATGTGGATTTAACATCACATTTTGTTACACATTTGTGGAGCTGTTTGTGAATATACCTTTTTAGATTAGATAGCATAATATATTTATATACAGATTGCACTTTTTTATTATACTACATAAAAAAGTGCATGGAATGTAACGTTATGCAGCTCGGACACATAATGTAAAGTATAATTTAAGTGGCAAACATATGCAATATTCAAATGCAAGAGGGTTAAGCCGTTGTTTTAATGTACTGCTCTAGTCACAGACCATGCTTGACTGTAAAAACAGATTTACCTTCAGGTTTCCCGTCCTGCGTCTGAGCGCGCGCAGGTGAACGGAGCGCGAGACACAGCGCGAGCATCTGCAGCGCAGCACCATTCATCCTCATTATCATTCTCAGAATATTCCCAATGTGAAGTCAGTCTGTCAGGATGAACACACGGTTACATATCCATGGCGAAAGAAGCGTGGAAGAGATGATGCTCCCTTCACTTCGGCTTGTCCTAAATTCTCATCAAAAAAATATCAAGTAGCCTAGTCCGTTCCCGTCGGTTACCGGGTTTATAGACTGTTAAATCCTTCAAGAGCCAATACGTCAGTTAAAAACAAATAGTTTGACAATCAAAATGTTGGGGGGAAACCGACCAGAAATACAGGACAGTTTAAAAGGTTCGTAAACATGAAAGCACTCGAGCACGCCTGGATGTTGTCTCGAGGTTTGTTGCCTGTTTACGAGGACAGGTGAACGATGCTGAACGCTGATTGGCTGTGACGTCGACCGTGTAGGCTAATTCCAAAGCCCGTACATTGATTTATCTCAAACATGTAAACAAGCCATTAAGCCTTGATAGTGAACTCTTGACCACTATAAACAGGCTGTGTTCTAAATTTCCCTCAGTAACCGACAGTCCTCACAGTCTACACTGAAAGCACCGTCGAGATTGTGATAAATGTATGTGCCAAGATTCTGCGCTCTCTCTCTCTCTCTCTCTCTCTGAACAAACACACATATACACAAATCTGGGGTTTGCTATATCGATAATAATGTCATCTTGGAGTGAGGGGTCTTTGTGTGCAAGTCAAGGGTGGCATTGTGTCCCGGTATCGTCCACTAGTTTATCACTGTTTCTTTGATGGCTCTGGACTCACAGTCTCACAAAGGCAACTTTGTCCCTCAGTTCAGATGGCTTTAAAACTCAGAGACAAGAAAGTGATTGAGTTCAGAGCACACATCATTCTCAGACACAAAAAAATAACTGCCAAAATAATACATTCAAATTTTTTATTTATTTATTTATTTATTTTCAATTATAAATACCTCAACAGTAAATCCTAAACATTTATTTTAAAGTTCATATCACTCTCAGAAAAATACAAAAATCACATTAATTCAATAACTGACAAAGAAGGTAACATTTTATTTGACAGTGTCTTTGTTATGTTACCAAACCGGTAAATTATGCATAATTACATGCAACAAACCCTCAACCAAACCCTAAATAAGGACATGCTGTTAATTAATTTTACGTGTTTAATTGTTTAATTCCACTGTAACAATGATACCTTAAAATAAAGTGTCTTTTTATGTATCGTAGTCATTGTAATTTCTAAAAATGTAATTGTCTAAACATTTTTGAGCACTCATCACATACTATACCTCACAACAATGCATTTAATTATAATCCTTAATAAATATTAACAATCATTTATTTAAAAAAAATGTATATATAATACAAAGTGTATTTTAACTTAATTTCTTTCTTATAATTACTTCAATTCTACATGCCCCAAGACATACAAAAATATCATGATTTTGAATATGTTTTTTTTGTTCATACAATGTGTTCACACTGGTACATTAATACCAACAATTATCTTTCCTCTTGTTCTCCGTTCAAACAGCATGTGAGTATGTCACAGACTAGTTGGGAAACAGGTTTTAAAGACCAGCTCTTCCGGCACTACCGGTCTGTGGCACTGATTGAACAAACAAGTGCACAGACAGACAAACAGACAGAGAGGAAGACAGGCAAAGTATTCTTAAACAACAAGCCTTAATAAATATAGTCTTTGTTCTTATGTATCACTTTGGTTTTTTCAGAGAGATACACTGCATAAACAAGGTTTTTTTATGATTTTGGAGCACATTCCTTGTTCGTTAATGTCTCACCAGCAAAAAGCATTATGGTCCAGAACACACCCTGATTCATTGAGCTCTCTCACGCACTTTCTGGTCTGAACAGATTGTGGGTTTGTATATATATATATATATTGCACTGGACATATGAATATTAGACATTAGCAAAGACTATTTAAGCACATATGCCATGATGAGAATATGCATTTGAGATTCTTCCTTTCCTGAACTGAAAAGAGTCTGAAACTGTGTGGGTTCTCATAATAGTTCTGCCCTCTTCTGGCGGATATGTGGGACTGCAGTGCAGAAACACACACACACCAGGAATCCAGCATAGACGTTTCAAGGCTTTGCGAGACAAATAAGGCGACACGTTATTTAGAGGGTTAGTTCATCCAATAATTACTCACCCTTATGTCATTCCATACCCGTAAGACATCCGTTCATCTTCGAAACACAAATGAAGAACGTTTAATGAAGAGATGTTATATCTGTCCCTCCATTTACACTGACAGCTCTACACAACTTTAAAAATTTCAAAAAATTAATAATAAGATTGACAACTAATCTCATTGTGTTGTCCTCACTGCAGTGTAGCAACTGTAGCTATACAACCAGCTAACTCTGATGCAAAATGACGACAAGTCGTAGTGAGCGATTTCTTGCTGTTTACTGTGGCTTTAACATCATCTTACATGACAGAGTGAAAACTGTAACAAAGAAATAAAGATTGACTGTTTTAACATAAATCTTGTCTGAAGAAAAATATCTGTATATACATGTAAATAAATATTGTAACTATGTGTAGTCGTTTCTTTTTAAACACTATTGTAACATTAACTTATTAACATAAAAATGAATTTTGTACTTACGACATTGCCTCTAGTGATAACAACATATGGATTACATGTGCTCACGTACTGTAAGCTTCCTTACTTCTATACAGGAAATGACCTCTAACCCTAAACTCCAGGTCTACATCATATCAAAATAAAAGTCCCTAATATTTTGCCTTAATGGCAACACACTCCCCGCCTGACATCTTTGAGGTCACTACACAAACAAGTCTTAACTAAAGAGATGAACATCACTCTTTACTCAGAAGCAAAACAAGTTCGGTCACTGGTCTAAGGTACTTTTTTGAATGTCCTTGATCTGTGGTCTTCAATTCCACCTTACGGACTTTCCCGTCTTTTCCAAGAATAGCCTTTGTGACTATCGCCATAGGCCAGCTGTTGCGGACAACTTGGTTGTCCTTGAGGAGAACAACATCTCCTTCTTGCAGATTTTGGTGAGATTTGGTCCATTTCTTCCGCCCTTGTAAGGTTGACAAGTACACTTGTCTCCAACGGCGCCAGAACATGTTGGACAAGGCTTGTACTTGTCTCCATTGCTTGGTTAGGAGGTCTTTGTCCGTAAAGTCTCCTGGAGGAGGTGGAGTGCCAACTTTCTGTGTCAACAGCATAGATGGTGTGAGAATGAATGGATCCTCTGGATCATTTGAAACTGGAACCAGAGGCCTTGCATTCATAATTGCTGTCACCTCTGCCATTAGAGTGCACAAGACTTCATGAGTCAGACGAGTGCCATGTTCAAGAAGCATTGACTCCAGGATCCTTCGAGCCACTCCAATGAGGCGTTCCCATGAACCACCCATGTGCGAAGCATGAGGTGGGTTAAACACCCAGGAGCATCCTTGTTGGTGTAGGTACCTCTGAACAGTGGTGTCTGGTTGTTCTGCACTCATCCCGAGTTCTCTGCAGGCCCCAATGAAATTTGTGCCACAATCTGACCTCAGTTGTTTGGCTGGTCCTCTTATGGCAAAGAAACGCCTTAAGGCATTGACACAGCTTGAAGTGTCCATTGAGGCAATCACCTCAATGTGAACCGCCCTGGAGCTCATACAACAGAATAATATGGCCCACCGTTTGCTCTCAGGCTGAACTCCTCTTGTACGTCTAGTAGTGATGTACCATGGTCCGAAAACATCTAGCCCTACATAGGTGAAGGGAGGGCAGGCCTTGAGACGCTCAGGTGGCAAATCCGCCATTAGTTGCTCCTGCATTCGACCTCTGAGTCTACGACAGGTCACGCATTTGTGAAGAGTTGAGTTAATGAGCCTTTTACCTCCCAAGATCCAGAGTCCTGCAGCTCTCACAGCGCCTTCTGTTAAATGGCGGCCCTGATGTTTCACTTGAGTATGATGGTGTCTGATGAACAGTAAGGAAACATGGTTGTCTTTTGGGAGAATTACAGGGTTCTTTTGCTTAATCTCTACGTCTGCGTTTTTCAGACGGCCACCAATGCAGATCAGGTCATTCTGCAAGATAGGGTTGAGACGACGTAAACAGCTGTTTAGAGGAACTGGCTTGTCTCTTTCTAGAGCCTCAAATTCCTTTCCAAATGCTTTCCTCTGAACGGCTCTGATGATGACTTCTCTGGCTTGGGCAAGCTCATCCGGAGAGCGAGGCAATTCACATGTATGCCATCCTCTACACTTGTGCATGACGTTAGGGGACTTGAAAGATCTTGCAATGTGAATTAAGAGTGCCACAGCTCGCTGGAGTGAGCCAAAGGTGGAGAACCTCTCAAAACGCTCTATGCTGAGACCTTCCTCGTGCAGATGGGTGGCATAACTCTTTACATCTGGACGAATCTCTGCATCCAATTCTGGTGAGACTAAGCTGAATGACTGAATAGGCTCTGGTTGAATGGAAGGCTTACGCAAAAAGGTAGGTCCGCTGAACCACAGTGTTTGTGTGAGACGTGATGCTGGAACAGACCTTGACGCAATATCAGCTGGATTGTCATCTGTGCGTACGTAGTGCCACTGTTCAGGATTTGTGGTCTGGCGAATACGCTGAACTCGATTGTGGACATATACATAAAACCGTCTGGATTGGTTATGAATGTATCCAAGGACCACTCTGCTATCCGTGTAGAATTTAATGGAATCCAACTTCAAGTCCAGTTCTTCCTGAATCAGTTCGGCCATTTCCACAGCCAAAACCGCAGCACACAGCTCAAGTCTCGGTATGGTTGGCTCTGATTGAGGAGCAAGTTTAGACTTTCCCATGACAAATCCAATGTCAACAATCCCTTCTCGGGTGGTCTTCAAATAGGCTACAGCCCCAATGGCCATTGTAGAAGCATCACAGAACACACAGAGTTCCATCTGTTCAGCCTTGGTTAGAGAGATGCCCGTGTACATCCTTGATATATGGAAGTGCTTCAAATCTTGAAGTGAGTTTCGCCAAGCCTCCCACTTGCCTCGTTTATCTTCAGGTAATGGAGTGTCCCACTCTGAAGCCTCAGAATTCAGCTCTCTGAGAAAGGCTCTTCCTTGGATTACGACCGGAGCCAAAAAACCCAAGGGATCAAAAACACTGTTCACCATTGAGAGAACTCCTCGGCGGGTAAACGGTTTTACGTCAGTTGACACAGAGAAGGTGAATGTGTCCCTAGCTACCTCCCACAAGAGGCCTAAGCTGCGTTGGATGTACGACTCCTCCTTCCCACAGAGGTTTACCTCTTTTCCAGCTGCCACACAGTCCTCACTTGGAAAAGCTGCCAAGACAGCCGGAATATTCGATGCAAACTTATGGAGCCTGAGGTTGGACTCAGCCAATGAAGCCTGAGTCCTACGCAGCAAGTCAATGGCTTCAGCATCAGTAGGGACAGAACAAAGACCGTCGTCAACATAAAAGTGGCGCTCGACAAA